GCAGGGCCTGGCGGGAGTGGGGGAGGGTCTTTGTTTCTCCAGGGAGCGGAGGTCTCTGAGGCTTAGCTGAGGTTGGTGCTTTGGAAGAAAAAGCTGGTTTTGTGTGGCATGGAGCTGGGGGTGGAAGTGTGTGCCAGGTGCGGTTGCATCTGAGTGTGTGTGTGAGTGTGTGAGTCTGAGCAGTTGCCACCTTGTGTGTGCTTTGACCTGTTGTGTGAGTTTCCACAGCCAGCTGCATCTCTGTGGGTGACCAGATGTGTTTTGGTGTGTGTACACCAATTGTGTATGTACCTCTGTGTTTCCCCTTTGTGTTGCCTGTGGGTGTGTGGGCAGATGGGACTGTCCTCACTTTGACCTAGTTGAGATCCTCCAGATCCTGGAGTGTCCTCGGGTGTTTGTGGGGTCGTGGCCACCACGAGCATCTGAGAGGGCCAGGGCAGGCTGTCCACAGCTCTGGGGGGAGGAGCCTCCTCTGTGGCCAGTCCTGCTACCACCACCACCCAGCCCCACTGCCCATGTCGCCTACAGGAGGCAAGGAAGTCTCTTGGGGAGCCTGAGCACAGGACGTTTCTTCCACATAAAAAAGGATGGGATGGAGAAGAGGGGAGTAGAAGTGGGGGAGGGGCTGCTCCTCCTGTTTCATATAAAAGGGAGTGTGTGTGTGTGGAGAAGATAATAGAGAGACAGAGAGAAACAGCAGGTGAAACAGGGGCCTTGGGGGTGGCCAGAGGTGGGAGTTTCCGCCAGGGCTTGAGGGCAGAGGACCAGGGTCCAGGAGCCCCAGGCCCTCCTTAGGTGGAGGGGGGAGCCAGAGAAGGCCAGGTCTAGAGTCCTGGGCTTGAGGTCAGGCTGGTGACCTCGAGTGAGCTGTTTTTCTCTCTAGACCTTCATTTTCTCCCACCTTGGTCCATGGACCTCCTGAGTCTACTGGCTTATATATATATATATATATATATTTTTTTTAAATTGGGGAATTGGGGGATGGGAACAGCGCTGGGGGATTGGGGGCAGGGGAACAGACAAGTTGCTGTCATTTTGTTCTTCAGTCTAGTTGTGGAGGATGTTGCTTCATTGGTCCAAGTTGGCACCATCATTGCGCTCTTCCCGGGCAAGGCAGATCAGTCGCTGGCTTCTGGACGGCCGCTCACTGTGGCTGCTGGCTGCTGGCTGCTCACTCTGGCTGCTGGCTACACACAGTAGCCCATGGCAACCCACTGCAGCAGGGGGCTGCAGCCTACGCAGTCGCTGGTGACCCACGGCAGCCCTGCTCCAGGTTGAGCTGTTGTTCAGCATCTTAGCTGTAGAGGGCAGGGTGACTGGCCCTCATATGTGGGATCCAAACTGGGGCCCTCTGGCGTCCCAAGCCAGCTCTTAACCAATGTGCCACTTGGCTGGCCCTCCACTGGCTTCTTGATCAATAAGCATGGTCTAAACCCCCAGCCTGGCTTTCTAGCAGCCCTAGGAGGCATCTGGGGCAGCTGGGCCCCATGGTCCAGAGGGGTTGGAGCTGTTCCCAGGTGACCCAGGAGGCCCCCTGCCCCCACCGCCCAGCCCTCAGCTCCTCCTGCCCCCTTCTCCTGGTGACTCATGATTTTCCATCTTCAAGAAAAAACAAACAGAGACTTGGTTTGGGCCCTTCTGGCGGGTAGAGCCCACATGGCTCTGGAAGGTTCTGAAAGGAGTGTGTGTGTCCCTGTGTGTGGGTGGGTGTATGCGGGTGTGTGCATCCTGTCCATGCATATATGTGCTGATGTAGGGGAAGGGCTCAGTCCTCAGGGATGCTGGGTTCAAGGCCAACCTGTTAGATGCTCCTTAGCAAGCGGCGGTGCTTCCCTGAACTTAGTAATAATGAGATGCAAACACACTTCCATACTTTCTGCGTTTTTTTGAGAACTTTCTGTGAGTGAGCCTGTCCACTACTGTGGTTTTCCTCTCCACTGCCCCAGGTGGATCACCTGGATCTAGGAGGGTCCTAGTATCTTGTTCATCAAGCATTTATTAGCCACCTACTGTGTGCCAGGCCTATACTGGGGACACAGCCATGGGCAAGCAGGTGCTCACAGGATGATAGTGCAGACAGATTCATACTAAATGGAAAGATCAGGGTGCCGTGGAGCCCAGAGGAGGCTCCTGACCCACCATTGGGGGTAGGGGGTGAGGAAGGACTGCTTGGAAGAGGTGGCATCTAAGCTTAGCCTGAAGGATGAAGAGAAGTCAGCCAGGAGAAGCACAGGGAAGGGTATGCCAACTAGAAGGAACAGATTGTGCAAAGCCTGACTCAAGAGGATCAGGTGTATGAGGAGCTGAACATAGATCAGTGTGGCTGGAGGGTGGGAGCAAAGGCTCTCTATTCATTTCTCAAGCATTTATTGAGTACCTACTGAGTGCACAGCTGGGAGCAAGGCAGACTTGTCCTATCCTTGAGAGGCTGGTGGGAAAGGCAGAAACAAATCAAATAATCATGATACTAAATGTGAAATTGAACCTGTGAGAGGAGGGAGCCTTGAGAATATTTACCTGGCTGGTCAGGGAGGGCTTCCTGGAGGGGGTGATTCTCCAGCTGTGACCTGAAAGATGAAGAGTCAGCAGGGGAAGAGTGTTTGGGCAAGGGCATGGAGTGGGAATGAGCCTGGCTGGTTCAAGGAACAGCAAGGAACAGGGATGAAGCTGGATCAGAGTGAACCAAGAGGAAAGGGGCAGGGTGGCCAGCAGGGGTTAAGCGTCACAGGACCTCCTGGAGAAGTGTCGATTCAGATGAGAGGGCAATGGGGAGCCATGGGAGGGTATGGAGCAAAGGAGGGTGAGATCAGAACCATGTGAGCATCTACAAATGTGACTCAGCCCCCTCTTTCCTATCTCTGTTCCGACTCTCCATGGGGACTTGGGCAAGTCATCTCTCCTCTCCAGACTTCAGTTTGTCTGTAAAATGGGCATAACAGCACCTACTTCCTGTCTTGCTGGGGCCACCTAGTGGCAAAGGAGAAAAGTGCCTGCCCAGGGCAGGGATGCTCAAATGGAGGGAATAGAGACAGTGATGTGCTAAGGACACCAGGGACTGCTGAGCACCTCCTCAGGTCATGCAGCACACAGGGACAAAGTCAGGATGAGGGTCCTTGGGTACACCCCTCCTTTGGCCTCTGACCCTTACAGGGCAGGGTTTGGGGTCTCCCAGGATCAGGCAGGCCAGGATTCCAATGCTGAGTCTCAGCTATGTGGCTCAGATTCTCCATCCAAAAAGCTATTAATAACACATTACTGTTAAAACTGTTAATAAAATATTTACAGTTGAATCTATTAGTGAAACATTAATATGAAACTATTGATAAAATATTAATGTCAGAGGAGCCTCTGGGACTTCAGAGGGGATGGAGCCAGTTAAGCATTAAGTGGGAGAGGGCTCAGGCTAGGGATCTGGCAAACTCTACCACTCATGGCTGTGTGACCTCAGTGAAGTGAACATACCTCTCTGTGTCTCAGTTTCCCCATCCCCCAAATGAGCATAATAGTCTCCACTTTTGAGAGTTGCTCCAAAAATCAAGTGACTTTTACATGCACAGCCCTTGGCTCAGAACCAGGCAAGTAGGAAGCGCTGTTTGTATTTATGTTTTTAATCTTAACCTTCCATTTCACATCTGTGACTTCAGGGGAGGGACTGAATCCCTTTGTGCCTCAACTGGGGACATGAGGCTATTGCAAGCCCCTCCCATGGGGCTAGGGCGGTGTCAAGGCTCCTTGGACAGACTCTGACCCCAGTGTCTCCACCAGGCCAATACTGGCAGACTCTATCCCTTGGGGACCAGCTATAATTAGGTGCAGCTACAGATGGTATTTTTGTTTTGGGGACAGTGAGTCTGGTTCCCACCAGGTGTCTGGTTGCAGAGCCACGGGGACAGAAGGGGGCTCCTGGCCAGACCCTTGAGACTCCTTGTCCTCCTGGGCCCCAGCGTGACCCCTCTCTAAGGCTCCATTTTCTCATCTGTACAATGGAAATAACACTGTGGTTGGGAGGTCAGGAGAGGGTCAGGGTTTCCTCCCTGTGGTCCATCAGATTCCCCCACTGAAGCCCTGATCACCCAAGCCGTATCTCATATTCTCCTAAGTGTGCCAGAAATGTGGGTGCCCCACAACTAGTGCAGTCCCCCAGGGGCAAGGTCCAGATAGTGGGGGTATCATCCCACAGCAGGGGCACAATTGGGCTCAGAGCATCTGTGTGGCCTCAGCTGGGAGGTCCAGCCCCTCTGGGCCTTGGTGGCCTCTGCCTATGATGTAGGCATTCCAGTTTTTGCCTCCAAGTGTGACACCCTCTGAGACTTGGTTTCCTTTCCTGAAGAACAGGGCAGGGGCACCCCGATCCCAGCATTCCAAGGGTAGAACACATGGTGTAGGCCCCTGAATCTTCCCAGACACCAAAGGTAAGAACTCCCTTTCCAGGCCCCTCAGGTTCCTTCTTGGGTCAGGGGGAGGCAGCTGATGATGCTTCACAGAACAGAAGGTCTGGCGCGAATGGAGTGCGGATGTTTGTCCAGTGGTGACAGCAAGAGAGGGGAAAGGATCCAGAGACAGGGCCTGGGGAATGTCAGAGCAGGGGACAGGGGTCATGTGGGAACTTATGAAGGGGGACTAGAAGAGGGGGAGCTGGTTTTAAGCCCTGCTTTCCTGCCATGAAGCTTTGTGTTTGTTACCACCTCACTGTCTCAGTTTCCCTACCTGGCAAAGGAGTAAGGGTTTGTTGTTTCTGAGAGCCTCTTGATGGCTCTGGTCCTTGGTTTCTCCATCTGGAATATGGACAGAGTGGGACTGGAAGCACTGTGTGGGATCTGGGCAGCCTCTAGGCAAGCTCCGTGCCTCCAGTGCTCTGCTCACAGTGGAAGGCACTTCCCTTTCTGACTTCCGCATCTCACTCTTTTCAGCCAAGTTAGCCCAGCAAGCTCTGTTAATGTGGGACATGTTGGCAGAGCAAAATGGCGTAAGACCAGGGTTCTGGGCCCCACTAGGCCGCTCTCAAAGAGAGGAAGCAGAGTGGCACCCGGCACCGTGCCTCAGTTTCCCTGTTTGTCCCGGTGGGGGCGTCCCAGAGCGGCCCAGCGGTGAGGCGGGGCGGGTGCACCCTCTGCCCTCTCCACACCAGCTCCGCCCCCGCGGCTGTCCAGAAAAGGTCCCGCGCAGTCTGCACTCTGTCCAGCCTTCATGCGGTCGCAGTGATGCAGGTCCCCACCGCGCCCACCCCGGCCCCTGGGGCTGGCTCCCCCAGGGACTCCCCGCGCGGCTCCCCGGGGCTCTTCAGGAAGCTCCTGGTGAACCAGAGCATCCGCCTGCAGCGGCGCTTCACCGTGGCCCATCCGCTGTGGTGAGGCGAGAGGAGGGCTAGAAGGGTCACTGGAACCACCGGACTGGAGGTGGGAAGGGCACAGTCAGGGTCGAGGGTCAGAGCACGGACGTTCTGCCCCTCCTGCTCTTTCTCGGTATCTCTGTTCCCGTCCTATCTCTAATTCTCTCAGATGGTGACTCTGTCTCTCCATCTCTGTCTTCCTCCACACGCTGACTGGACCCATGCGGAGGTGGGGGGTGGGGGAACCAGCCGCTGTCCCTTTCCAGCTGTGCGGCCCAGAGCAGGACAGGCTGAGGCTCACGTCTCCTCCTGACCCTCTGGCCCGGGGCGGGAGGCCTGAGCGTCCCGGGGGTGGCGGGGAGGGGCAAGGGTCACTACTCCCCTTGGTTTCCCCTCCATCCTTCCTGGCTATGGTGAGGAGATGGCCTGGGGGCTTCACGGGAAACCCTCGGTGTCCCAAGAGGAAGACCTGATTTGATGGGGGCCTTTGAGGCAGGGTGTGCGTAGTGTAAGAGAATAGTTGCATGTCCCAGGCTGAGAGCAGAGCCGCGCAGCCTTACTTGGTGGTATCCTCGAAGGACTAGTTATCGCTCTGGGTTCGAATCCCGGCACTTCAGAAAACGGCTGTGACTTCGTGGGGCACAGGGGTGAGGCTGGGTGGGGCTTGTGGGCACCGACTGTGTCTGTCACCTTGCTCTGGGTTAGTGCTGCATTCGCACCCCCTTGATAATTTGGCAACTGATGGCTCAGAGAGACTGGAGGTCCTTTCTCCAAAGTCACATGGCCGGTCAGTGACAGTTGGCGGGGGTGGGTACAATCATGACCGTGGTCCCTAATGGCGCTATTGCAGTCCAGGAGTCGGGTCCCGGGCCCAGGAGAGCGCCTTCATTTCACCAGACGCTTGCGAAGGGTAGTCCCTGCCCAGGGTTCTGGAGACAGGGCAGGGGCGTCGAGGGAGAGCCCTCGGGTCTCAGAAGGTGAGGGTGGAGGACGGCGGGTCCCTCGAAGGACCCCGTGCCTCAGTTTATCTGTCTAACTGATGGACAGACGCACTGTTCCCACAGTCAGGGCGACCTCGCCACGCGTCGCTAGCGTCCCGGAACCACCGCTTGACCGCCTCCTCCCTTCCCCCCTACCCCCACGACCAGACCTTAACCCTCTGTGCCTGCTCCTTGGATTCGAACCCAGGACCCTGTGGCCTCTCTCGGCCTCAGTTTCCCTAATTATCCATAGATTCGCTTTCCCAGAACCTTTGAGAAGAGGCTGGGAGGGGGAGGTGTCGCCACCCCCCAGGCCTCCCCCTCGGAGGGCGGATTAGGGTATCCGCTGCTAGCCGACCCTTAAGAGCGTCCCTCAGCTTGCCCCCACATCCCTGCCAGGCAGAGAAGGGTTAAGAAGCCCCGCCCCCAGTGACGTCACGAAATAGGCGCGCAGTCGCGCGCGCGTGGCCGAGGCTTCTTGGAGCGGCTGGAGCCAAACTGGCCGAGAGCGGCCGGACATAGCCGAGTACGCCCGAACTTACCTGGGTGAGGCCAGACATAGCCGAACGTTCCCGAACGTATTCGAACCTGCTCGAGCATGGTCGGGCGTAGCCAAGTTCTACGGAACTCACCCAACCTAACCCAGCTGGACCAGGTCCAACCCTGTGTGATCAGATAGAACTTAGTCAAACCCGGCCCTGCGTGACCGAGCTAGCCCGAATCCAGCTGAACCAGAGAGAATCCAGCCGAATCCCGGATGGGGTGATCTGGCGGAGGACCAGGTGGACACAGGCTCTTGGCCAGAAGCCCCAAGTCGTGGGCTGTCCCTGTCTCCCTGTCTCCTTCCTGACACCCTCTCAAAGCCCGTGACCCACAGGCAACCCCTCTGTTCGGTTGCTAGCACCCCATCCAGCACCTCTGTTTTTGCCCCACACCCCCTCCTACTCTGATCTCTGACTCCAGTGGGAATGAGCATAGATCCCCCCCTTACCCAGTCGGGGTGTGGCGGGAGGGAGGGACAGGATTGAGTGAGCGGGGAGCAGGGGTGGGGGAGGGTTG